GGTCAGAAGTATGCAAGGTGAGCCCCCTAGACTAGGTCTTTGAGAAATGGGAGTGAACCCATGCTGTGGACATTCAGAACGGCCGATGAAATGTCCCCTCCCCCACCAAATCCAGAGGGGATCCCTATAGATTATAGCCCCGGTCTGATTTGACCGTCTCAAGGAACACACTGTGCTGTTTTGGAATTGTTATTACCAGCGGGGACTGCCCAGAGGAAGCTGGAAGTCTATGCCAGCTTTCTGAGCCGGTGACCTAGAAACAACATCCAAACCTATTTTTGTTTCTTGGGGCCTGAAATTTCATCGAAACTGTCCAGCCAACTCTGACCCAAAGCCTTCCTATTTGGAAAAATGAATCCCCAAAGAGAGAGAGAGATTGTGTGTATTAATTTTTCTGGTGACCGAGAGTAACCTTCTCCTAGCCCAATTTTAGGAATAATAAACTCTCGGAGCCACACCTCTGAAAACTTGTCATTTATAGAATGAAGCGGCAAGCAAAGGAGGTTGGTTGCAATTATTTTTGAATCTCTCACTCAGGATTTGGCTGATGGTCGGAAAATAAACCCCCAGGCATTTGGTAGCTCAAACCTATCTACCATCTCCCCCGCCCACGAGCATTTTTATTTGTTTAATGAATTTTTATTTTAATCACTGTGATAGACCCTTACAAAGCTGTTCATGATTGGGTTTCAGTCATCCAGTGTTCCAGCACCCATCCCTCCACAGTGCACATTTCCCAGCACCAGTGTCCCCAGGGTCCCTCCCATCACCCTGCCCAGCCTGCTGCTATAACAGGCAATTTCTCTCTCTCTCTGTCTCTCTCTGTCTCTCTCTTTCTCTCTCTCCCTCTCTTCTCTTCTCTTCTCTTCTCTTCTCTTCCTTCTCTTCTCTTTCTCTCCCCCTCCCCTTTTCTGGGCATTGTGGTTTGCAATACTGATACTGAAAGATTATCACTGTCTACCAAAGTTTTTAAAAGCACAGAGAGGAGTAATATAAAAGAGCGAAAGATTAAAAAAAGGTGAAATTTGCTTAAATAGATTTACTCACAAATAAATATATGAATATGTCAATTTGGAATGATTCCAGCAAATTAACTATCCCTTTACTTTGTGAAATCTCAGTAGATTTGGTAGATTTTAAGTTGAAATTATTCTAGGTCAGAGGTTATTATTAAATCAATCCTTAGTTTTATTTCCAATGTGTATGTGAAATGCACATTTATTCATTTGTTTTGGGCTATACCAGAGGTGCTCAGGGCTCACTTCTCACTCTGTGCTCAGGGGTCACTCCTGATGGGGTTCGGGGGACCATATGGGGTGCCGGGATCAAACCCGGGTTGGCTGCATGCAAGGCAAACACCCTACCTGCTGTACTGTCTCTCTGGTCCCTTATGTATTTTAAACCAACAAAACCCACTGCACCTAATACACTGCTATTTTTCAACTGGCTAAAGTTATTTGAATTCATCTGTTTAAAGGAATTTCCTTTAATGTTTTGATAGGGAAAACCCTGATTTAAAACAAAACAAAAACCAGTCGGGAAAAAAAAAAAGTGAACAGAGGAATCCACTGAATCTGAATGAGAGCTCTCGATTCTAAGTGGATTCGATGATGGGTTCAACACAGTTCTGCTTCACCCAGTCCTCGGGGCCCGTCTCAGAGGTGCCCACAGCAGCCACACCTGGAAGAGCTGCACCTGTGTCCGCTGATGCTCAGACTTTCCGTGACACCTGGCCACGGGTGACTCACAGATGCTCCTGCACTCAGTCATCTCCCGCTGGGAACTACAGGAGGCGCAGACCTCGGAGTGGGAGGAAAAGCCTTCTCGGAAGCAAAAGCGCTCTGGCCAGCGAAAATGGAGGCACTCCATGCTTGCAGCTGAAGGGACGCTCTAGAAAGTTCTGTTTGCATCTGGAAGTGGCCTCCTGGTGTGGGACACTCTACAGGAAGCGATTTTTGATATGGACTTTTCCGGTGGGGAGAAGTGGAAAGATTATTCACTGTTTGTTTTCATTTGGGAGGGCTCCCCCAGCCATGTTTGGGGGTTGCCCTGGTGGTTGGGGGGGGGCACCTGCACAACTAGGAGGGAGCCCGTGCTGCAGCCTCTGAGCTGGCTCCCTGCTGCTCTCCCTGCAAACTTCTAGCAAGAGAACAGGCCGTGACCGGGGACAGTGCGAGCGTCCTGCACGTCAAGAGGCTTTCGCCGAACTCTTCAAACACACAGACCACAAGTGGCAAGAAAACCCACGCTGCTGTAAGCCCACAGCAGACATTTGTTCGACGAAATAACATTTGCGGGCTGGAACGCTAGGACAGCAGGTAGGGCGCTTCCCTTGCCTTGCACGCAGCTGATCTGGGGTTTGATCTCCGGCACCCCATGTGGTCCCTGAGTGCAGAGGCAGGAAGAAGCCCTGAGCACAGACCAGTGTGGCCCAAAAGCAAAAAAAAAAAAAAAAAAATTGTGAGCCAGAGAGCTAATGGGAGGGTTAAGGCATCTGCCTAGCATGTGGCTGACCTCAGTGTGATTCCAGGCACTGCAAGTGATTCCCCAGGCACCACCACAAGCCAAAATTAAAATAAAATTGAGGAGGCATGGGGCTGGAGTAATAGGTCAGCAGGTAAGGCATTTCTCTGGCATCCATATGGTCCCCTGAGCACTGCTAGGACTGGATCCTGAGTGCAGAACTAGGTACAACCCCTGAGTATTGGATGTGATCCAAAAAGCAAAATAAAAAAAAATTTTTAAAAATTTAGGTGCCACAGTGACGAAGATGAGACTAGCGGTGACAGGACAGTGGGAGAAGGTTGTGAGCACCCTGGTGGTGGGGTGCTGCGGTCCACCAAGCCCATAAATGGCTAACACTAGTGCAACCATCTTACCTGAACAACTTTTAAAATATGTGCATATTTTACTATACACCTAGAGGTGCTCAGGTGTCGACTAAAACCTCTCTGCCTTTCAGTCAATTGCAAACGAGTGAAAAGAAAACCTGAACGAAAAGAAACACAACGATTTTCTAAGAAAACAGATTGCGATGAAGAGGCTACAGATCAAATTTATTGGTAGAATTACTCGTGTGCGGTACACAGAATGTAATACAAAGAAGTCAGGGCGTGAAGGGGAAATGCTCAGCCGTCACAAATGTGATGTGTTTACAAACACGTTCACCAACGCTACTTCTTTGTTCAGATTCACAACAGATGCAAAGCCAACTCCATGGCACTTACCCATGTTCATGCTTCGGGTTTGCAAGTCCGAGCAGTCTCCGTTCCACGCGCACTCTCATGGCTGTGCTGACACCGGCTCTGAGTGATTTTTCTCGAACCCTGATCTAAAATTAAGACTTCTGCCTGACCCTGAGGCCACCAGCTAAATTAGAAATTTTTAAAATGGCTCTACAAAAGGTAAAGCCACATCCTAGATACATAAATACAAAAGACAAAAAACCAAGAGGCAAAAAAGGGTCACGGAGGCAGCAATTCTGCTTGGGATGACAGTTCCTATTTCTGGCAACAGTTTGATGGGTGAGCAGCTCGGCTGCCTCCATTCTAAGTCCGGCCGTCAGTTTTCATGGCGATTTTCTGAATATTCCGAGGGCAGTATCAATTTAAGAAAAAACAACCCCCCAAAAGGATTTATACATAACAGATTAACGAAAGAGCCCTGTAAGCCTGCTGCTGCTGGGGGCCCCGTTTCAATTCTCAGACCCGTCTCATCATTCTCATCCACGAGGATAATCAGGAGAGTCTGCCTCGCCCCCCAGGTACCCCCCAGAAGCACTGACCCGGGGGTCTGTAAGCAACACTCTCTTGGGATTGTTTGCAGGGCTGCTCTGGGCTTAAAGCATCATGACTGGACACAACTGTGACAACCCCGCCAGGTCACAGAAATGGATTTTCCACCAAGCAACAACAAGAGAATTACAACGACAGTTCTCGGGATTGTTTTCACGACCACCAAGGAAGTAGGGGCAGCACTTTCCAGAGAAACACTATTCCAGAGAAATCCCACCTTTGAAACTAACAAGGAGAGACTGAAAATGCACAAGAGGAACTCCGGAAGTGCCTTTTCCACAGGTGATAAAGACAAATGGAGCACTTTACGGAAGGAGAGAAAAAATAAGAAATCCCAAACGACCTTAAAAACAAATAAATATGTGAGCGATCGTTGTTTAAGAAAGAAAACAGCTCATTTTCTTTCTTTCTTTTTCAGAGCTCATTTTCAAAAGTTCTGTTGGGTTTGTGATGCAGCTTAAAAAAAAGATTAAGCCAGGGCCAGAGAGATAACGCCAGGGGCAGTAGGCTAACCCGGAGCACCACCAGGGGTGACTCCTGAGCACTGAGCTAGGAAGAGCCCCTTAGCACTGTCCAAACACTACCCACCCCCCACCCCCAAAAATAAGTCAAACTGATTCCAGCAATCTTGATTTGCTCTCCAGGGACTGAAGGAAGCACTACATGTTCCTTTTTTTTTTTTTGGCTTTTTGGGTCACACTTAGCGATGCTCAGGGGTTACTCCTGGCAGTGCTCAGGGGGCCACATGGGATGTTGGGGATGGGGCCCGGGTTGGCCGTGCGCAAGGCAAATGCCTTACCCAATGTGCTATGCACATTCTAAGCTGTTTCATATCCCCCTGTTCTCTGACAATGCAAATAAAAAGATCCGGGGGCTCCTGTCGAAACAGAAACCAGAGAGAATTCCCAAGCCCTCCTCTTGAGTGCTTCCAGCAAGCTGGTCCGAGAGGAAGAGGGGCCAGCCGGCAGCTGGACGCTCTCCTCAAGAGCCCCAACTTTTGTGTTTGTTTCTGGATCAGGCCCTGCAGTGCTCAGGCTTCCTGGAACCATATGGGACAGGGGACTCGAACCCCGGGTCAGCTATTCCTGCTGCACTAGAGCTCTGGCCCCTAGAGCACCCCATTTATTTTTTTATCAGACAAGGGTGCCTGCTGATCTCCTAAGATCTCGGGGGGAGTCCGAGGTAGATTCGGGGCTTCGGGGCTGTGGTATCGAAGGACAGTCTCACGCCCTGTTCTAGAAGGTATGAACGCAGGATGAACAAACGGAAAACTGAAAACGGTGGGCAGCGGACGGCCCTCGGCTGCCTCCCCGGGCCCCGTCAGTGCACCAGCTCTGGCTGGTTCTCCACGAACGGGAGCACCCCGCTGACATAGTAGGCGATGCCCAGGGACAGCAGCGCGATGACGAAGATCAGGAGCAGGACCCTCCAGAAACCCAGGTCCTCCACGAACTCCTGCCATGTGGTGCGGAAGCTGGACAGCACGCCCTCGCCCTGCTGCAGGTCAGGGTTCAGCAGTGAGTGGCTCTCCATGGCGCTGCAGGGAGAGGGACACACGTCACCCACCGCAGGTGGGAGAGTGGGGCGCCGCCCCCCACCCCGGGGAAGGCGGACCCAAGAAGGTGGGCAGACAGAAGGTGGACGGAGGGCTGCAGACAGCCTCCCTGCTCCCGGATGGACGGGGACACACCGGACAACTGAGCTTTCACAGTCAACTGTTAACACAAGGCGCAGCTTCCTGCGGCAGTGGCCAGCACTGGCCAGATGACCATCCTTCTTGGACCTGGATCAAAGGAGCTTTCCTCTTCTCCTTTTTTGTTTTGGGGCCACACCCAGTGATGCTCAGGGGTCACTCCTGGCTCGGCACCCAGAGATCGTTTCTGCAGTGCTCGGAGGACCATACGAGCGGCCGGGTACCCTGGGATCTGGGCGGCTGGGTGCAAAGGAGGCGCCGACCTGCTGCACCGTTGCTCCAGCGCCTCGCACGAGCGTTTCCCATCAGATGCTAAACCCAAATGTGGTTTTAGTAATTTTGTGGGGCTTTGTCTTTGGGCTTACGGCCTATCCTATTCTCTTAGTTTGGGGAGCCATCTAGGGTCCACAGGAATCACTCCTGGCGGTGCGTGGGGAAGCCGGTGTAGTGGCTGGGATCATACTGGAGGTAGCCGAGTGCAAGCAAGGGCTTTAACCACTGCACTCTCCAGCCCCTTAGTCATTTTCGATTCAGACACATTCAAGACAAAGATCTGTCCTTCAAGACTCTATGCCAGTGGAAATAAGCCATGAAGGCAAGTCTAAAACCCATTTTAGATGGAGCCTGAAACTTAACAGCTAATAGGTGTGCGTGGGGGGAGGAAGGAAGGGGGAGGTTCGTTCATTGAGTCCCTTCAGCTGATGAGTGGAGCCTCTTTTTCATGATTTTTCTCCACGGAACAGCGGTCACCCCATAGACAGGGAACTGCCCTTAAGCTGTCCCTGCTCTCCAACCATGGGCTGTAAGTTCTATCTTGCACACAACACTGATATCTGTTTCTTTTAGGCGTGGAGGCTGGGTGGGGTGCAAACGCCGTGGAGATCCTGGTTTCAGAGCCGCCTTGGTGTGTCGCGTCACAGTCTGGGAGGCCCACCGCGAGGGAGTCCCAGCCACTGCAGTGACCGCATGCAGTCCGGGCACCGAGTGGCTGGCAGGGCTATCACAACCCGGCCTGACCCCTGTCCTTTCACCAGTGCCCAACCTCCCCTGGGCATGCAGCTCTGTCCTGGGGCCTGCTTCGCCATGCCAAATGGCCAGTTTTCTTTGCTGGTTTTGTTTTGGGGCCATACCAGGCAGTGCTCGGGGCTGACTCCTGTCTCTGTGCTCAGGGGTCACTCCTGGCAGGGTGAGGGGGAACCTCTGGGAAGCCGAGGCCTGAACATGGGCTGGCCTTGCGCAAGGCAAGTGCCCTCCCTGCCGCACTCTCTCTCCAGCCGCCCTGCCGCACTCTCTCTCCTCCCCCTTTATTTTCCTTCCGTCACTGCCACCTGGAGGCCCCAGCCAGGACGATGACATCTCAAAGAGCTCCTAGTCCCAGGGAACTGACCACCTAGCGTGTCAAATCTATTTTTAAAAAAGATGTTTTCTGGAGACCAGAAAGATGTGTTTTTATCTGTCTTTGCAACCCCCAAGAAATTGAAGAAGACTCTAGTTAGGAATGGGATTAGAACTTTGAGAAGGCTTACAACAAGCAAGGTGAGAAAGAAATTCAGGCTTCTAGAAATGACAGAAATCTTGACTTACAGAAAATGGACTCAAAGATAAAAGAGAGGATCTGGTTAAGCATTTCCTCCGTTCATCTGAGCTCATGAAGCACAGACAATCAGAACTTTAGTTTGGGGGGGTCGGGGGTATGCACACCTGCGGGTGCTTGGGGACAATGAGACACAAGGGTTCAATGCACTGTGACAACCACATGGCAGCAAAGCACTGTCTCTCCGGCTCTAGCTTCATTAAAACTTCCTGTAGAGCCTTTTATCTGGTAAAGTGTTTTGTACTGCCCTGGAAACACCTGATTTCAGCAAGAAGGCCTGGGCATGTGTGTGTGTGTGCCTTGGAGTGCACGCATGTGTGGGGGGGCTTACTCTGAGTTATATGTACCAACAAGGTGAAAAGAAAAAAGGTTGCATTTAGGAGGTGAGAGGGAGTGGGAGATACTTTTCCATCAACTTGGCTTACAGGCTGCCTTTAAGAAATTAAGCTCGGCCTCTGGAAATCCCAAGAGAAACATCCCAAGTGGTGTGTGCGTTTCAATACTTGCGTCCCCCCACTTGGGCTATAAAAGGCAATGACTACACAGCCGTGGGAGAAATGTCTGAGGTGCCTTACATAAGCCAGTGAGATGAATGCTGATGCCACCAAACCCACCCTCTAACAGGACACCACTCGTGGCTTTATTTATTTTTTGGTTTGGGGACCACACCGGCAGTGCTCAGGAGTCACTCCAAGTAGTTTTTATTTGGGGGTCACTCCTGGTTCTGCACTCAGGAATTATTCCTTGGTAGTGCCCAGGGGACCCTACGGGAGGCTGGGGATTAAACCCAGGTCGGCAGTGTGCAAGGCAGATGCCCTCCCGGCTGTACTATTGCTTCGGCCCCACTCAGTGATTGTAAAGGAGTTAAAGTTGTGTACCAGGCATCATTCCAGAACATTTTTATCACCTATCGGAAACTCTGCTCTCTTTGGCAACTTCCTGCAGCCTCGACTCCCCCCAGTCCCATCCGGATCTCGCTGACAACCGGTGTAGACACGTAGCCCCGTGGACTGGCTTCTCTTACGTCCGCATGTCCACCCTCACTGTGGCTTTCCTCCTGCTGGCGGAAGAACTGTCCCCGGATGGAGACAGATCCTTAGTCTATGCATTCCTCAGCCAGTGGACTTGGGGGTTTGTCACTGTTTGGCTGCTGCGAATAATGCCACCGAGGAAAGGGGGGGTTCTGCATACACGTTTCCCATTTTCCTGGATATATACCTTGGAGTGGAATGGTTAGGCCAGCAATAAAACGGTTTTCGAAGGCAGCTGTTAACCAGTACTGCCATCAACTCTATGGGCTCAGCTGCTCAGCTTCCCACCCTTCCCACCCAGTCCCTCCCTCTGATGAGCTCAAGCTGCAGCTTCTGGGTATCAAGGGCTCAGTCACTGAGGGCTCTGTCCCTGGCTTGGACTCCCCTTTCCCCCGCTGACTAATGACACCGACTTTCAACCCCGGCATTTCTGTCATGACACAGAAGGGCGAGAGTAGGGCAGGACAACCCAACCGTACAAGGGCTAATGATTCACTTTTGGAAGAACTGGCTTTACACGTGCTATCACCCAAAATATTTACAAGCAAGGGACGTGATGGAAACAAGAGCAAATTGTTCACAGCGACGGCTCAACTCACTGATGACTTCGCAGTTAATGAGTAATCACCACGGGGGCAAAATAAAGTTCAAGGTACAGTTTAGGCAAAGGGCAGCTACGAAACTCGCTGTGAACGTAACATACTAACCAGCACCCCCCACCTCAAATATCAGCAAGCAGCAGCGTGCTAAGATGCTTTCCGTGGAAAGGGAGCTTCAGGTAACTTCCTCTGTCGTCGACTGCCTCGAGCAGGCCCCAGTAACGTCTCCTTCATCCTAGCCCTGAGATTTTTAAGAAAGTGCTATATTCAAGGCTCTTTAGGAAAATGAGACCCATCATTGTTACTGGCATTTGGCATATTGGGGACGCCATGGGGAGTTTGCCAGACTCTGCCGTGTGGGCAGGCTACATTCGGTAGCCTGCCAGATTGTCCAATAAGATGTCATAATAAGATGTCCTTCTCCTGTAACTTCCTCTGTGAAACGTGAAAAATAAATGTCAAGCTCTTGGAGGCCACCTGCTCTGACAGGCAAAGCATTTCGACTGGGTTTCACGGACATTCTGACCAGCACTCAGAGGGACAGGGGAGGGAGCTGAGGGAGGGAACTGCCAACGCGTCTGACTTCTTACTCGCCTGAGCTACCTGCAGCCTCTGGGGGTGGCTCGAGAAGCAAAGCTCTTTCTTCATGGGACAAAGTGGCTGACTGGACATTCGTGACCAAACGAGCCTCGGCTGGAGGGTGGGACGGAAGGATGCAAGGAGCCTGTCTCTCGCAGGACGAGGGAGCAGAGCAACGGCAGGACCGAGGAATTGGCATACCGACGAGGTGTGACCACCGGTAGCTCACACTTAACTGGAGTTTAATGAACACCGACTGGCAGCGCCGGATTCACATCAAACACAGACTGAGCTGGAAAAAGGGTTCGGACAGGGTTAAGGTACCATGTCTTGCTTGCAGCTGACTGTGGATGGATTCCCTGCATTGCAGATGGTCCCCGAGCACGGCCAGGGGTCACTCCAGAGCACAGAGCCGGGAATGGGCCCTCAGCACCACCGGGTGTGGTCAAAAAAACAGACCAAAAAAGCAGATAAAAATTAAAAAAAAAAAAGACTCACAATGACTCCAAAGATCTAAGTGATCTACCGGATCCAAAATCTAAGTCTGGGGCAACAGTACAGAGGAAAGGGCATTGGTCTTGCACACGGCCAACCAGGGTTCAATCCCTGGCATCCCAGATCATTCCCAAGCACTGCCAGGAGTAATTCCTGAGCACTGCCAGTGTGATCCAAAAAGCCAAAAAAAAAAAAAAACCCAAAACAAAACAAAAATACCCTAAAATCCTAATTTAGGGAGACCAGGGGAAACTTACCCCTCTCTGTACCTTTAGCCTTGAACTCTGAGGTAACCAAGATAACCACACACCTGAGCTGTCGTGGGAGGCTCGAGGTTCATTCCCCGCACTCCTGCACACCCCCAAGCTGAGCGGGGTCCCCCCACCAAGCACCAGGATTAGCCCCCAGCAGTGCCTGGCACGGCCCCACCCCCAGAAAATTAACATGTTGTCACCTTCTCAGTGCTCCCTAAAACAGTGCTCTCCGCCAGACTGGACGGGAAGGAAAGAGGAGAGGGAATGAAGGGTGCCTCAAGACTCTCTGGCCCCCGGGCTCGGCTCCTGAGCTGACCAGAGCCTGGACTTGGTTTGCTCCCCCTCACATCAAGGCACGTCTCGGCCACGTGGCACTGTGTGGATGCAGCCCACCTTCCACCACATCCCCCCCTCCACTTCCCCCTCTTCGTCCCATCCTGGTGTTTTCAAATATCGTCACGTGCTCGGGGTATCTTTCTCCTTTAAAAAAATCATTGGGGGGCTGGAGCAATAGCACAGTAAGTAGGACGCTTGCCTTGCATGCAGCCGACCTAAGTTCGATTCCCAGCATCCCCGAGCACTGCCAGGAGTAATTCTGAGTGCATGAACCAGGAGTAACTCCTGTGCATCGCCAGGTGTGACCCAAAAAGCAAAAAAAAAAAAAAAAGAAATCATTGGTCATGGGCCCAGAGTGTAGGACAGCGGGTAAGTAGGGTATTTGCCCTGCGTGTGGCCGACCCATATTTGATCCCCAGCATCCCATAGGGTCCCCTGAGCATCACCAGGTGTAGCCCTCAAGCCAAAAATAAATAAATAATAGTAAATTCATTCTTTTTCTTGCGGGGGAGGGGAAGGCTGCCCTGGAACTCCCCCAGGACTATTTCCCTGTCTCCTGATGAGCCCCACCCTCTCTGCATCCTTGTTCCAGCCAGTCTCCCCACGCCCGCAGCTCTCTCCCAGGCTGGCTGAGATGAGGCAGCACCTCCTGGGGGCGGGCCCTGAGAGCCAGGGGCGGCCCCCGTCCCCCCAGGGGCCCCGGCCCACGCACCTCTCGCTCTCAGCCGTCTGCATGGTCTCCAGCTTGGAGTGCGCACCCCGGTTGAAGCCCTTCACCTCCTGCTCCTCAAGGGACTCCAGCAGCCTGATGACATCCTTGTTCACTCCCCGGCGCTTTGCCAGGACCAAGGGGGTGGCGCCTTGGTGGTTGCTAGGACAGTCCAACAGAACAACATCGGGATGAGCACGGTACTCCTGGCAGGAGAGAAGGACCCGAGGGGCTGGGGATGAGACCCCACGCAGAAACCAGGTCCAGCGAGAACCTGGATTTTGGATGCACTTGGTTTTGTGTGTGTGTGTGGGGGGGGGGTTTCTTTGGGTCACACCTGGCAATGCTTAGGAGTTAATTACTCCTGACTTTGCACCCAGAAATTGCTCCTGGGGGTATTTGGTGGACCCTATGGGATACTGGGGATTGAACCCAGGTCGGCCACACATATGGCAAATGCCCTACCCGCTGTACTATGGCTCCAGCCACACTGCCGCCCCCCTTTTTTGGCTTAGAATTCACCTGTTTTTAGTGTTACGGGTGAAAGTGTGGGTCACTGGGGACACAGCTAAGCCAGCTAAGCCCCCCACAGATAGGCCGTGGACATGAAAGGTCCAGGGCCCTTCCTCTCGGATAAACGGTCACGCAGGTAAGAGTCAAGCCCCAAATAAACAGGCTGGGGATTGGGAGAGCTGAGCAAACCCAATGAACCAGCACCAGGAGCCTGCCAAGGGGACGCTTAGCCGGTTGTGAGGGTCATGGTGACTTTCCCACTCAGAGACGAGGCGTCCCTTGAACCACTAGGGAAAAAAGAAAAAAGTCCTCAATGCATATGGAAGAAAAAGGACCCTGAGCCTCAGAGAGGCCATCGGACATGAATGATTTGGCAGGAGGCCGAGGGGCTTTGGACTTCGTGGAACCAGGTTCAAATTTTCAGAATCCCAGACAGGCCCTGAGCACCGCCGGGAGTGATCCCTGAGTGCAGAGCCAGGAGTAATCCCTGTGCAGTGCCGGGTGTGACCCAAAAAGCAAAAAAAAGAGAGAGAGCAAAAGGTGTGGAGGAGGAGGCCCGGCCTGAGGAGGCCTGGGGGACTCACCAAATGTCAATTTTGAGCCCGTTGGAGACCAGGAACTGGATGGTGTCCACATGGCCGCAGAGGTGCAGGGCCGTGTTGCCCTGGTAGTCCGTGGCCAGCAGGTCAGCGCCAAACTTGTGCAGCAGCTGGCAGATGTCCACGTTGCCGCGGGCGGCGGCCAGGTGCAGGCCGGTGCGGCCCCGGCCGTCCCGGATGTTGGGGTCGAAGCCGCTCTCCAGCAGCCGCTTGGAGTAGTTGAAGTCCCCATCGATGCAGGCCTGCAGCAGCGGCACGCTCGTCTGCGAGGAGTCGTTGACGAAAACGTAGGACATGGCTGGACAGGGCCTGCAAGGGTGGGGGTGAGGTGAGCAGGGGGGCCGCTCGGCCCTGCCTCGACTCCCCAGAGACAAACAGCAGCCCGCCCCCACCCCCCCAGGCATCACGGCCCCTTGCAAGGTCTACTTGGAGGGACGCGAGAGACAGCAAGTGAGTCCCCAAGGGTCCCCCAAATCCCGCCAGAAGGAAGCTCTGAAACCCCCAACAAAATACATACAAAGGAACAACTTATGTCGAGGGATCTCGTGATATCAAGGAGGGCCGGCCCTTGACCCTAGGTTCCAGGAAGGAGAAGGGCAGAGGAGGAAAGGGCTTGAGGGGGGAGTAAAAAGGGGTGGGGGGTATCAGGCAGCGGGCTGGGGCTCTGGGGCATGTCGGAGGTACTGAGGAGAGGCGTCGAGATGGGCAGATCTGAAACACAGAGGGCAAGACTCAACGTCACCGACCGGACACGGGTGGGCTGCAGGCTGCAAGGGCCGCTCACCCACACCCACCCGGCACCAGGGCCAGGCAGGGGACCTGATTTACTCTCCCAACTGGCTCACAGGAAGGCTGAGGCAACCTGGACTTCTGCAAGGCATCTGTCACCCGAGGCCTCCTGGTGAGAGAAGGGGCTGGGTCCCGTCTACTACTCTCAGTCAAGGAGAGCCCATGGGCAGACCAAGACAGCGGGACAGACGGGGATGAAGGTTGCACGCCGGGAGATGGGTCGGGAGGGCAAGGCAAGTTGCAGCGAACAGAACAGGCATCACTGGGCCCGGAACAATCAGAAGGTGAGGGGACGCTGGCCTTGTGCGTGGCCAACCTGGGTTTGAACCCGGCATCCCATGAGGTCCTGGAGACCTGCCAGGAATGATCCCTGAGCACAGAGCCAAGAGCAACCCCAGAGCATCACCGGATGTGGAGCCCCCCACTGCCCCACAAATAAGAAGGAGCGCCCTCGAAAGGGGGCAGGAAGGTAGACTTGTATCGACAGAGTGAGCCCCTGGGAAGGGGGGGGGGTCGTGGCAAAACCAGCTTCATATTATGACCAACTACAAAGATTCTCTTCTGTTCTAAGGCCCTACCTGGTGGTGCCAGGGCACTTCCGACTATGCTTGGGAGACCAGATGGGGCTCAAATGCACCTTAATCCCTGTACTGCTATTTCTCCAGCATCTACAAAGAGTTTTAAATAAATGAACGCAATGGATAGTGCTCAACAAAACACCCTAGAATTCTGTTCTAGGGTGGATTAATTTTTCCCCCACAATATTCACTGGATTGGCTCATTAAAAAAAAAAAGAGAAGAGCAAACTATAAAAAGCAGTTTTCAAAACAAAGTTCTCCACATACCCAAGGGCTGATGTGTGTAAGAACAGACAAGGGAAAACAACCGAGCAGGAGTTTGTGGTGCAGACACGGCCGGGGCTTTCCTGCGGCCGCTGGTTTCCTGGGTCCCTTCAAGTGTGCGGAGGTGGCCACAAGTGTTTGCAAGTTGTCCTTGAGAAGAGACGGCAAGCCCTGCCCCAGCTCACACGCAGTGGGGAGGGGTCCAGGAGGCCCACGTCAGTCTCAGCATCTGCGCTCTCTCTCTCTCTCTCTCTCTCTCTCTCTCTCTCTCTCTCTCTCTCTCTCTCTCTGTCTCTCCTTTCAGAAGAGTCACATGAATGAGGCCGGGTGGGTCAGGAGTTAGCAGGTGAAGAGGACATGGGTGATCACAAAACAGGGGGTCAGGAGGCCTGAAGCCACCTGTCAGGGGCTGGCACCACCCTGGGCACAGAGAGTGAGCACCCACTGCCGCCCGTGCCCATGTGCTGGAATGCTCTGCAGGTCAGCGTTCACCACCGCGCCCCCCACCCCCACCCCATGTGTGCAGACACCTAATCTGCTTGGACCCAGCCCGGAGTCCCGGGGATGGGTTGGCTGCAGGTGCTGGAGGTAAGGGTCAGTCCCTCTCATGTTGGCCCCCCCAACACAGGACACCGTACCCCCCTCCACTGCCCCTCTCTTTGGGACTAGACGTTGTGACCCAATCTCAAGCACCCTTGGTCCTCATTGACCCATGGATTTTGCTCTCCATGGTGGGGGGTGGGGGCAGGAGGGGAGGCAGAACCCTAGTCAAACCCCCCATCCCAGCCCCATAAACCTCAAGCGCCCTGTCCCCCAGTCAGCCATGTCCACCACTTTCTTCGTAAGAAAAGCTACTTTTTTTTAAACCAAGGCTGGAGCGATAGTCCAGCAGGTAGGGTGCTGGCCTTTCATGCAGCCAACCGGGGTTCGACTCCCGCTTCCCCTATAATCTCCCAAGCACTCGGCAGTGATTCCTAAGTGCAGAACCAGGAGCAAGCCTGAGCATGGTCGGGTGTGGCCCAGAACAAAACCCACCAAAAAAATCCAAGGACTGGGCCACAATTCCACACTTGTGATTTCAGACTTTGACAGTCCACAAGTGGCTAAGACTGCAGTCAGGAACCTGGGGGAGGTGCCCCCTCAGCTGCTCCTCCGTCCACGGAGTCTGTTAGGCGCCACGGGGGTGAGTAAAAGTGGGTGAACACCCTTCTGGGGGTCCTTCCCACGCTCCCCCCAGGGAAGCACTGCTAGGGCTGTCACCTGTGGCCACACAGCAAGAGCCGGGGAGAGGGTCCCTGGAGACCCACCGCCCCAGCGCGACCACGGCGTGTCCTGGCCCGGGTGGGTGACAGCTGCTGCTAAGCTGTAATGTCTTTTTTGTGGGCTTTTTGTTTGGGGGTCTCACCCGGCAAGGCTCAGGGCTCACTCCTGGCCCTTGCTCAGGAACTGCTGGGCGTGCTCGGGGACCCTGTGGGAGGCCGAGGATGGTATCTTTTTGACCAAGGTGGGTCCCCGTCACCTGTGGAAACAGCCCTGTCTGTCTGTGGGAACGTCTGGGTGGGAGTGGGTGGGGGATGTGCGAATTGGTAGATCAATCGGTAGGAGGTACGACGAGAAGACACACGAGAGGAATGGAAAGAGTGTGGAGGCCCAAGGCTCGTTCTGGCTCGAGGCGAAGGCCGTTGCCAGAGGCCTCCTTTTATTCTAGTTTTCATCAGTTCCATCCTAACAGCTTCATCACAGAGAAAGACTCACTAACGAGAGTACAAACAGTTACAGGATGAGTATTCGTCAAAAGAACATCAGGGTATGCATTGTCTTGTCAAAGCTATGTCGTCAAAGCTATGTCGTCATGATTAAAAACGTCGGAGGAAGATACGGAGCTGCACACATGGGCTCTACAGATTACACCTCCCACATTCTTGTGGTTGGTTACACACAGGGCAAAGAGAAGGCTCAGACTGATACTTGAAGGCCAATCCAGACGAAGGGTGTGTAAGGGAGGGGGAAGCTGCTGCCCTGTGCCGCCAAGACGCTGTGTGACTAGGCGGACGTGAGAGCATGCTGCACTCCTCCAGGTCATCGACTCACAAGTTTTTAGCTTGCCCACTTAGTGAGAAGTGGGGCCTCGGTTCTGCTTGCTGCTTGCAGGTCCTGGCTTAGCACCAACAGGCGGGGGACGCTGAAGCTTTGGAGACCCTCAGACTGGCATTTCCTGTGCAATGCACGTCGTCTCGCCTTGGGGTTGATGGACGGACAGAGGCGAGCTCGGAGCAAGGGCTGGTAGTCGCCCAGAGGCCCTGGGGACCAAGGGCGTCAGCCTTCCTGGTGTGAACAAAGGGTGTCGGGGGCCAAAGAGGTGTGGGGCCAGGGCTGAGATGGTTCTCTGCTTCCAGGGGCTCCTCTGGGCCACCCCAGGATTCTCTGAGAACCTCTGGGCCTGGCCCCACCCTCCCCCCACAAATGTCAGGTCTTCGGCGGGGGCGGAATCAGGGCGCCACAAGCTGTTGACAAGTGGGAGGTGAAAGGGCCCGGCTGCGGGTTCATAGAGAGGGTGAGGCAGGCGGGCAGGCGCTTCCCCCACCCCAGCCCCACCACACCTGCGGCCCTGCTGGAGGGAGACACCATCGCCCCCCATGGGAGTCCCCACCCCGCTGAGGCCTCCCCCTAAGCAAGGCAGCCCCCTGATTACGGGGTGACCCCCCATGGGGAGCCGAGACTGGCAGGGGGCGCAGAGGGAACTGGACCCCTAGAGGAATGCCCCGCCTGGTGAGGCCTGGGGAGTGTCCAGGGGGTCCCCGCTGCCCCGGGACAGCCCGTGGGGCTCAGGCTGCCTTGCTTGCAATCTCCCTGCCCCGGGCAGCCACAGGACTCCATGCGAGCCCGCGGGACGCTCAAACTCTACTCTGGGCTCAGGGCAAGAGGCCGGCCGCTAAGGAGGCAACAGGTGCGGAGTCAACAAAGACATGCGAGGTCCGAGCTCAGAGTCTTCCTCTTCCACACTGCTCCCTTCAAGGTTTGATTCATTTTTCTTCAGGGGTGTGCAGGGCCGCTGACTCCTGGCTCTTGCTCAGGGATCACTCCTGGTGGAATGCAGGGCTCCGTGTGGTGCCAGGGACGACCCCAGGGCATTAGTCCCACCTCTGGCCAAGTCGGGGCTCATTTGTGGTGCCAGGGACGAACCCAGGGTCCTACCCCCACCCCTGGCCAAGCCCCGCAGGGCTGCCCGAGGCAGTGTTACGGAGGGCAAAGCACTAATGGAGAAATGGTGTATTAAATTTCATCAATCAATTTTGTTCTGGAGGCCATGCCCGGCGGTGCTCAGAGCTTACTCCTGGCTCGGTGCTCTGGGGATCACTCCTGAGGGCTCAAGAACATCTGGGGTCCGGGGCTGGAGCCTGGCTCAGCCACGTGTGCTAGCACTCTTCTCTTGGCACTACTTCCTCCATTCCTTTAGAGAGCTCCTCCGTGTCCAGCCTAATGAGCCAAGCCGATGCCTTGCTCCATTTCTCACTCAGAAAGGTGTGGGCCGGGGCCAGGGAGGTGGGGAGAGACAGCACTGCAATCCCGCGCCAGTGGGCTACGGAAATGACGGTGATTTGGCGGCCAAGTGGGAGATCAAAGCAGGAGCCCGCAGACCGGCAGCCGAATGCAAGGAAGGCCGCCCCCCACCCTGGC